AAAACAGGCAAAATTAGTGTGGGGTGAGATAGATCACAATGTGCTTTCTTGCATGAATGGGAATTGGCCATAGTGGGGAAAGAGAAAATTGCTGGTGGGGACGAGAATGTTCCATGTTTTAATTGTGGTGCAGGTTACCCAGGTATCCACATTTGTCCTAATTGTTGCCTGTGTGCACTTATCATTGGTGCATTTTATTGCATTGAAATTAGTTCAATTCAAAAAAGGAGTATTAGAAAAAATACAGCCAAGAGGATTCCAGTTTCCAGTACAACTGAGTAATTTTTTAATTTTATGATTTGATTTCCATTATTTTGGCTCCCTTGCCTGACAAAGGAATGCTATATACCAACATTTATAACCGACCATGAACTGTTTTGTATTACAGAAACACACATTATTTCAGAAGCTACTGCTCCCTACAAATCTTAAAAGAAATCATAATGAGCATCTCAAATATTTAGAAAAGAATGAAATTCTTTTCTTTTCATCATAATGAAAAAAAATACATTAACTCTATTCCTATATGAGGTATGGAAAAAGAGTGTTTTGATGACAATTTACAGCCTGTAAGGTTGTGAACAAAATAACAAATGCTTGTATATTATAAAAGAGGAGAGTTTGAAAATTTATATACTATCAGCTCAACTTATGAAGTTTGCAAGAGATTAAAAAATTAGCACAGGGCATGTAGAAGTGTGGATATAAAACAGATAAGAGCGACAATAATTGAAATATAAGGCAAAAATACAATAGAAAGGATCCACAATACACCAATTGGCCTTTGTAAGGATGAATGAGATGAACCAAGTTCTGGAAACATTTGTTCCGAGAGACAGAGTGACAGAGGGAGAGAGGGAGGAAAAGAGAAAAGGAGGGGGAGAGAAGGAGGGATAGAGAGAGGGAAAGGAGAGAGGAAGGGAGAGGAGAGGAAAGGGTGGAGAAAGGGAAAGAATAACAGAGCAATCAGACACAAAATGGCGAATGATGTGCATTTAAAAGAAAACATAAGGCTACTTGGAAAGCTAAGGCAGAAGGATCACCTGAGCCCAGCAGGTCAAGGCTACGGTGGCCATGAGCATGCCACTGCACTCCAGCCTGGGTGACAGTGAGACTTCGACTAAAAAAAAAAGAAAAGAAAAGAAAAGAAAAACTCGAGCCAGGCTCAGTGGCTCAGCCTGTAATCCCAGCACTTTGGGAGGCCAAGGTGAGTGGATGGCATGAGCCTGTGAGTTCGAGACCCGCCTGGGCAAGCAAGACCTCATCTCTACAATAAATCAAAAAATCAGCCAGGCGTAGTAGGAAGGCTGAGGTGGAAGGATCGCCGGAGCCCAGCAGGCGAGGCTGTGGTGGCCGGGAGTGGTCACTGTACTACAGTCTGGGCGAGAGAGTGAGACTTCAACTCAAAAAAAAAAGAAAGAAAAAGAAATGAAAACATAACCACATAAGTAGCACAGCTATAAAAAAGACAATAAAAGGAAAACAACACTATAGGGTGGGTATAATCAACAATGTTATGCCAAGACATTTGAAAACTTAAACATAAATGGCAAATTTTCAGAAAATCATAATTTTTTAAAAGTGACTTGGAGCCGGGCTCGGTGGCTCAGCCTGTAATCCCGCGCCTTTGGGAGGCTGAGGTGAGTGGATTGCCTGAGCCCGCGGGTTCGAGACCCGCCTGGGCAGCGAGACCTCATCTCTACAATAAATTAAAAAACCAGCCGGGCGTGGTAGCGCACACCTGTAATTCCGGCTACTTGGAAGGTTGAGGCGGAAGGATCGCCGGAGCCCAGCAGGTCGAGGCTGCAGTGGCTGGGAGCGGCCACTGCGCTCCAGTCTGGGCGACAGAGTGAGACTCCAACTCAAAAAAAAAAAAAAAAAAAAAAGTGACTTGGTACCAAGAAGAAAGCCAGAAGAGTCCTGTAACTACTATAGCCCTCCATTTTCAAAACAATGCATCTTTAAGTCACAATAATCTGTTCTTTTATACCCAAGATTCTCACAGCATGTGAATGACATAATAAAATTATTAAATGGAATGTGAAGTATCAGGAACACTTGTTAGGAGTTGTAGTGTAAACAACAACAAAAAATAGGAGCTATCTAATCACTTTGACGAAGTCCAAACCTATATCCCAACATTTTTAGACCTAAGCACATATATCCCGAAGAAAGTGTTCCGTGTGTGCACCAAAAGATAAAAATGATCATTTGATACACACACACATATATATAATTTGTAAAATAAATAAACAAATGACTGCAAATGACATGAATATCCACTGAAAGGAAGTGGATAAATTGTGATATATTAGTACGATGCAATTCTATGCAGCCAAGAAAATGAATGGACGTGGGTTAAGCCCATCAACTCTGATGACTCTAAAAAATGCAATGGTAAGCTTTGGAAGTAATACAGAAGAGTATATATACTAGGATTTCAGCTCTACCAATGTCACAGATTAAGCAATATCCTGTTTAGAATACTTCCATGAATGTGCTAAGCAGGTAAACAATATTACTAGATAGACATATATTCATAAGAGTGACCGTTCTTGGAAATAGCAAGAGGGACCGTTTGGGGAAGAACCAAACAAAAATATCGTTAATGATACTGCATACATTTTTTTTCCTTTCAGCTCGTTTGTGTTTCTTGTAGATTCTGGACGTTAGGCCTTTGTCAGATGTATCATTAGCAAGTATTTTTTCCCATTATGTGGGTTGTCTCTTTACTCTCTTGATGATTTCTTTTGCTGGACAAAAACTTTCCAGTTTCATGAGGTCCTACTTGTCTATTTTAGCTTTTAAGGCATTCATTTTTGGAAACTTGATCAAGGTTTCATTGCCTACTCTTATGTGCTTAAAAGTGTTTCCTATGTTTTTTCTAGTATTCTTATGGTTTGAAGTTTTACGTTTAGGTCTTTGATCCATTTAGAGTTGATTTTTATATATGGTGATAGGTAGGGGTCCAGATTCATTTTTCTGCACGTGGTCAGCCAGTTTTCTCAGTACCATTTGCCAAATATGTTCTCCTTTCCCCATTGATTGTTTGTTGGTGGCTTTGTTGAAGATGAGTTGGTTGAGAGGCCATGCTTTTGCTTCCAGAATCTGTCTTGTTCCAGTGATCTATATATCTATTCTTGTACCAATACCAGGATATTTTAGTTACTGTAGCCTTGTAGTAAAGTTTAAAGTCTGGAGTGTGATACCTCAACTTTTTTTCTTTTCCTGAGGATTGTTTTGGCTATTTATGCTCTTTTTTTGTTCCCATATGAATTTCTGTATTGTCATTTCCAGGGCTGGGAAGAATGATGTTGATAATTTAATGGGTATTGCATTGAATCTGTAGATTGCCTTTGGTAAGATGAACATCTTAACAATTTTGATTCTTTCAATCAATGAGCAAGGAATATTTTCCTGTTTTTTGGGATTATCCTTGATTTCTTTGAGCAGTTTTGTAGGTCTCATTGTAAGGTCTTTCATTCTCTGGTTAGGTGGATGCCAACGTATTTCATTTTTGTGCATGTGTGTGTGTGGTCATCATGAATTAAAAACTGGGCAAAGGACATGAATAAACACTTATCAAAAGAAGATATACAAGCAACCAACAGATACCATGAAAAAGTACTCAGCCTTACTAATCATCAGACAAATGCAAATCAAAACTACAGTGAGACACTACCTAACTCCAGTAAGGATGGCCCTCATTAATAAATCAAAAAATAGCAGTAGCTGTGGGTGAGAATACAAACTAGTTCAACCCCTATGGAAAGCAGTGTGACAATTCCTAGAAGAACTAAAAATTGACTTTTCATATGATCCTGGAAAACCTCTCCTGGGAATATACCTGGACGAACATAAGTTATTCTACCAAAAAGACTACTGTATATGAATGTTTATAGCTGCACTATTCACAAAAGCAAAAACATGGAATCAACCACACTGCCTATCAAAAGTGGACTGGACAAAGAAAATGTGGTACATATACATGACGGAGTATTATGCAGTCATAAAGAAGCACTAAATCATGGCCTTCATAGTAAATTGGTTGGATTTGGAGAACATCATGCTTAGTGATCCAACGCAGAAACAGAGTTGAATACTGCGTGTTCTCACTCGCAGTAGGACCTGAGCATTAATCACAATAACACAAAGGAGGCATCAGCAGTCGTTGGGCACCGCCAAGAAAGGGAGGGATGGCAGAAGACACATAACAACACAAAGGGTACCTAGTCCCAAACCAGGGGAAGTAAGGGCCAGTTGGAGGCCCAAACTTCACCTGCATGCAGCCTACTTGTGTATTTAATCCTTACTTGTACCCCACATCTCAATAATAAAATTAAATTTAAAAATATTTTTAAAAGCTGGGTACACTGAAATTTATTTCATTACTGCTCTTTCAATTATATATATATATATATATATATATATATATAATTTATATATATATAATTGAAAGAGCAGTAATATATATATAAAATATATACTCTCTGTAGGTACAATAAGTTATAATAATAACTTTATTAAGATCTCATCAACTGCTTCATTCTTACAACTTGAGATTGAGTTTTCCTAATTGTATAATGTGACTTTATGTTGATCAGACCCACGACATTGTCATGGAGTTATACTTTGGTGGATTGTTCTATTAATATAAAACAAAACACACTTTACATATCTCCTCACATAAAAATGTCCTAAAATAAACCTATAAGTTATGAAGTGTCCTTCTCAAACTTTCCATGATTAAACCCTTCCTTGAGAAATAATCTTTGTTCTGAAGGCAAAATATTGCTGAAATAGTTTGACTATCTGTCATTTTCAATGAAGGAGCTGGAAATGGGGGCAGTAAAAAAAAATATTTAGTGAGAACGCTAAGATTTTCTATTCCACCCAACAACTGTTAAGTACTCCTTGAGACAGCAACTAGGTGTTGTTTGCTGATGAATGCTTAGTGCCTGGTGCGGAGACATCTATTTCAATTATTTTTAATATTTCAGACAAACTTGGTGAAACTTCTTCTGATGCATCAGGCAAACCCAAACCTCATGAACTGTAACGAAGAGAAGCCATCAGGTAGGTTATGAGCATCCCAGGACCACTGAGCAATTATTTTTTTTTATTCCTTTTATATTGAAGTTGTTCATCCATCATGAGCACAGTTATGGAATGAGAGTTGGCCTCTCCTGGAAAACTGTGTGACAGGCAGACCCATTCAAGCACAATTCATAAACGCATAGGCATGGCTGCATTCCGAGAGAGGCTGAGAACAGTTCAATCTACACATATGGTACTTTGTTGCATTTTGTTTTTCATGTTTTAAACTTTCAGGGTAGTAATTTATGCAATGTGATGTGTGTGTATATATTTATTCACTGTAGTGCCTTATTCAATGTAATTACACGTGTATATATATATATACATACATATACATGCATATATATATACATATATATTAGCATAAAGGAGGGATCAGCAGTCATATATATAAGCCACATAACTTATACTTACAGACATAGGTGGTCATGTAATTTAGTCATGATGATTCAAAAGGTGTTGCTGTCTTCACTAGGGTTCTTAATTGATATTCAGGTGAGTTTTTCTTCATGATTTATCAAGCTTAACTCTATTTATTATTAAGTATAAATTTGACTGATATATATCTATATTGCTTCCCAAATCTGTTAAGATATCACTGTGTGTAAATATATATATACTGCAATCCAATGGACAGCAGGGTGTGATCATAGTTCACTACAACCTCAAACTCCTAGAAGCAATCATTCTCCCACCTTAGCTTCCCAAGTAGCTGGGACTACAAACATGCACCCCCACACAAAAATAATTTTCAAAAAAATTTATGTAGAAATGGTGTCTCACTACATTGCCCAGGTTGGTCTTGAACTACTGCCTCAAACAATCCTCCTGCGGTTGGCTTCCACGTGTGCTAGGGTTACAGGCATTAAACAATGTGCTTGACCTTAGAATATATTTATGTTTTTATTTCACTGTTTCTCATCCTACCACATACATGCTTATTCATTAGGGTATTTTATTTTATTTTATTTTTTTATTTTATTTTTTTTTGAGTTGGAGTCTCACCCTGTCGCCCATACTGGAGTGCAGTGGCTGCTCCCGGCCACCGCACCCTCGACCTGCTGGGATCCGGCGATCCTTCCACCTCAGCCTTCCGAGTAGCCGGAATCACAAGCGTGCGTTACCACGCCCGGCTAATTTTTTGATTTATTGTAGAGATGAGGTCTCGCCTGCCCAGCCGGGTCTCGAACCCGTGGGCTCAGACAATCCACTCACCTCAGCCTCCCAAAGGCGCGGGATTACAGGCTGAGCGACCGAGCCCGGCTACCATTAGGGTATTTTAAAACAATAATAATACTTTTTTTCTACACAGATATTTAGACTACAAAAAGATAGTAGAGAAACAAACATTCTCATGCTCCTTTAAAACTGAAAATCTTACTTAAGGCTGTTTTAAGGCAGTAATTAATCTAAAAGCACTTTATATTTGAGATTTCTAATTTGATATACTTCTATGAGTATGATTTTCTAATGAACCTCCAGTTTATCTTCTCTACTAAAGTAAACTGACAATTTGACAGAAATATAACATAGTTAAATAGTCTTGAACTTGAGATTTAAGCTGATATTAATGATAGTCTAGTAATGTTAATATTAACTGTGTAAATATGCCTAATGGCAAATGGAAATGTATAGTTTTCTATCTTTTTGTAAAAAACATGTATTTACTATGAATATTAAGTTATATCTCCTGTTCATTCTCCTCTAGTTCCGACAGGAAATGACACTTTCAGGTTCTTACTTCTGGATTCCTTCCCAGGCAGGGGAAGATACACTTGACTTTTGAGGGCATGGATTTCCATTCCCATACAATTTTACTATTTAGTTCTAGTATCAAGAGTTTCAAACAGAAATTCAAGCAATGACAATTGACAATCTTAGGGCTCCTGTGAATAAGCAGACATCTTCTAGTCTCGAATCAGTTCTGGTCACCTCAGCACAAGACGTGAGGACTGGCTCAGGCAACCCTTTCCATGTGGGTCATGCAAAGTCTACCTGCAATCTAGAACCTTGTCCATGGTCTGTTGGTAGTAAGAGATGTAGTACTGGCCCATAACAGATCCTCAGTAAGTATTTGTTAATTGAATTAAAATACATATCACATACGCAAGAAGCAAGGAGTTATAATGCAGTGAACATTTCAACTAAAATAGATATACCAATATCCAGATAGCAAGAAGCATGTACCAGATAAAAGAACAGGATAGACAACAAGATGCTCCTATCACAACTGATCAAATGAAAATCATTATCAGTTCTGTGTTGTTGTTTTTTGTTGTTATTGTATGTGTCTTAATTTGAAATGGACTCATAAAAAAATATGGGAGAAAAAGAGGTTTGTTAGGTGGGACAGAAAATTAATCTCTGAATGAAGAAGCTGAGCTCTGCCCTACTTTTTACATGTATATTATGTATTCTGAGGCAAATAATAATAAAACCCTGAAATAAATATCTCCTTGTAGCATCTTAGTTTGATCAGCCCAGAAAGCCACATATCTTACATTTCTAGACATAGGTGGTCATGCATTTTAGTCATAATGGTTCAAAGGTATTGCTGTCTCCACTAGGTTCTTGCTTGATATTCATGTGGGTTTTTCCTCATGATTTCTCAAATTTTGCTCTCAATTTTTAAGTAAAAATGTGACTGATATATCTTTATTGCTGCCCATATATGTTCAGATGTTGCTGTTTGTGTATAATTTTTTAAGGAAATATATTGATTTCCAGTTGAAACACTTTAAAAAGATAATGGAGAGAGGCCAGACTTACTGTTTTAATAACACAATGGAGTATTTATTTGTACATCTATCCATTTTGTAGAAAATTTATAGAATGCCAACTGCATGTTTTTTAACCCAGTTGTTGAAAAGGTGTAACTATTTTCATCATTTTGATTCACAGTCACAAAAATGCCGGAAGAATTTTACTGAGAATGAAATGGCATTAAATTCTCTCAAGCTTAGCCTCTCAATGATGTTTTATTTTACACATCACCATTCAGTGCATATTATTTTTATATTTTTATTTGGCTTATAATTAAATATGCCACTGATGTAAAGCAAAATAGCCTTTTAAAATGGCAGTACTGCAATTTTATCCCTGCCATAAACTTTTAATGTTTTCTTTGTTTTGATTTTGCTTCATGTGTTGATACATTTTAGTATTTTAAGTATGTCAGAAGTATGGAATGTAAATAGATTTCCATGCTATTGCCACCTACTTTTTCTGCTTTTCTTATTTCTTTCATGTAGATATCGCTGCATCTGAATTTATTGAGGAAATTCTGCTGAAAGCTGAAGTTACCTGGGAAGAAAAAATGAAAGAGCCTTTATCTGCTTCTTCCCTGGCACAAGAGGAGCCCTATGAAGAGATCATTCATGATCTTCCAGCACTTTCCAGTAAGCTGTAAGTGTCTTCATTCTGGAGTGAAGTCGTAGAAACTTGCTCATTGAAAGGTTAATCATTTTCATTCTCCATCCTCTCTAGCTGCTGGTCATTTTACAGCCAACACTAAGTTTATGTTTATCTTTCAACTCACAGAGTTAGAAAAACTGAAGCTGTTTACCGACACATTTACCAAAGGATACTTGTTGAACATGAAAATGAGTTTAGCAAAATTCTATAAGAGCCCTCTGATTTCTTTTAGAGTTGCTATGTTAGGTATTAAATCAATTTCAGGTGCTGTGAGACCAAATAATTTTTTGAATGTATTCCCAGATTTTAGGTAAACTGATAATGAGGTTTCCAGTGACTATCATGATAACTAACTTTCCTAAAGTAGATAATACAGATATGTGGAGTGTTTTTTCTCTCCTAAGTATCAAACTAATGATGTCTGCTTGTGTTAACATCTCCTGAAAAGTAATTTTCTTATTGCTGGAGCATGTCAAATGCTGGGATGGAGCACTGTTATCATTTTCAAGGTCTGAAAAAGTAAGACAAAGTATGGTTGATAAATAGTCAAGTGGAGATGGGCTATGAGTATCCAAATAAATGAAGAATATTGCACACAGTTTATGGTACATTTTAAAGTCTTTCAAATCACTTTAAAAGCCTTCACTAAAAGTTATCCAGTAAAAAAAAGTGGCATATCCAGAGCAGTAATATTATAAAAATGATAGTTCCTATAAAGTTAGTGAAAGAGAGATTAAAATTAAATAGCTTGTTAACTCCAGAACATTCCTGCTAAAATATGCATTAAAAAGAGTAAGAACAACATTAAAATCTTACAAAATATTATCAGTATTATATAAAAGTTCATTTAAAATCATAGAACTATTGATAATGTAAATGAACAAAAGGCACACATATTAAAATCTGAGTATCTTAATGCAGTCCCTCTAAAACAAATCTCTATGCATTTATATGCAATGAATCATGGGTCTCTGTGTAGTTCTTTAGGGTACTGATGTGGTTATTGGAAAGAGCTTTGCCTTATGCCTGATATTTTAGCTTAAGCAGTTGGAGACTTTGATGCTCAACTTTCAGAAAAGAATGAAACAATAGGCAAAGAACCAACAAGGAAATAGAAGACTTAAACAATACTATAAACCAATTGGACCTAACAGATGTATTTACAGCACTTTACTCAACAACAATGGAATAAATATTCTTCTCAAGGGGTCATGGAACATTCTTTCACAAAAATCAGAAATGTAAGAAGAATATTTTTCCTGAATTTACAGAAATGAAAATAATTAAAAGGGAATGCTATGAACAATTGAATGCAAAATATTAGATAACCTAGATGAAACTTAAATATTTCCAGAAAAACATAAACAAATAAAACCGACTTAAGATAAACAAAAATTGGAATAAACCTATAACAAGTAAAGAGAGTGAATCACTAATCAAAAAGCTTCATAATAAAAAGCTGTCACCCAGACAACTGCAAGACTGAATTCTTCCAAATGTTTAAAGAATTAATACCAGTCATTCACAAGCTTCCAAAACAGAAGAGGAAGAAACTGTTCTTGACTCATTCTGCCAGGCCTGAATTACCCTGATAGAGAAATCAAATAAAAATGTGAGATACAAAGAAAACTTCAATACCCTTGTTAATATGGGCTTAAAACACCCAAATAAAATTAGCAAATGAAGTCCAGCCATATATAAAAAGGACTGTACAATATGACATAGTGAGATTTATGACAAGAAAGCAAGATTGGTTGAACATACTAAAATCAGATAATGTGATACTTCATGTTAGTATAATAAAGACAAAAATTACATGATCATCTCAATATAGACAGAAGAAGCATTTGACAAAGCCATGAGTCACCTCATCTGAATTACGATTGCTCATTGTTTTCACCAGTTTTTACTCCAACTTTCTCTTCCTTTGCATTGTAAAGCTTATTTGTTTTTACATTTCCCCAGAATATATTTTGCTAAAATTGTGAGAAAGGATGGAATGTTCATCCTTTCTATATCTCAGTATATAAATCAAATTCTCACTTTCCTACTAATTCATATGTATTGTTCTATGAGTATTTTGTACAGTAAGTCATGATTTAGTAAGGATGAGGATATTACTTCCATAATAGCCTACAGTCAGTAGCCATTGCCTATCTTTGAACTTTTAATGGCTTGGAAATTTCTATGTTCTATGCCATGTTTTCTAAGACATCCTTTGAGGGAAGACCTCCCCAAAAGTAGGAATTATCTTTTGGAGGGTTGGGCCCCTTGTAGTACAGGCTTCCCCGGCTACATAGGTGTTCCAGGAACCCATCAACATCAGTGTACTAGCTAGCTTTGCTGTGAGAGGCTGCATTGTGGAAGAACGTCCCAAGTTGTGGCAAACAGGTGACTGGTTCTTTCACCATGACAATATACATGCCTACACTGCCCTGAGTGTTCAAACCAAAAATGGCCCTGAGTGTTGAAACTAAAAATGTCATGACCCCATATCCCACCCTCCCTAATCACCTAATCTTGCCCCAAGTGACTTTTTGTGTTTGTTTGTTTCCTGAGATGAAAAAAGTCCTCAAAAAGAAACCTTTGGCCAATGTGGAAGAGGTGAAACAAAAACCAGCAGAAGCACTAAAAGGCATCAAAACTGACAAGTTCAGAAACTGATCTGAGGAGTAGAAAAGACATCTTGATAGGTGTCTTGCTTCAAATGGAGAGTACTTTGAAAGTAACTAAGTTTAAACAAACAAGAATAAATATACAATTTTTTATAAATAAATTCCAGTTTTTGTGGGGGTTCCTCCCTCATATCAATCAGCATTCTTTTAAAAAAATACATATTTTTTATTTTAAAATTGTGGGGTACAGTTAAGGGTTAAGTATACAAATATGCATTGTGCCGGTACCCTTGTTGCTGAGGTGTGCCCCCTATCCCCAGACGGATATTGACTACCATTAATCCCACCTCCCTTCCCCTCCCTGCCCCCCCATAGTTTCCCGTCACTGTCAATCCTTTTCTTATAGTATAGCAATAGTTGTTCAAGGTCCACTTATGAGTGAGAACATGTGATATTCAGATCTTTGTTTCTGTGAGAGATCACTCAGTATTACAAACTCTAATTCCATCCAGCTTGCTGTGAAATTCATGATTTTGTTCTTTTTTGTGGCTCCATAATATTCCATCGTGTATATGTACCACATTTTAAAAATTCAGTCCTCTTTTGATGGACAGCATGGTTGGTTCCATGATCTTGCTATTGTGAACAATGCTGTGATAAACATACGTGTGCGGGTATCTTTTTTACAGAGTGATTTGAGTTTTTCTGGGTATATTCCCAGTAGGGGGATTGCAGGGTCAGGTATCACACTCCCAGACTTTAAACTTTACTCTAAAGCTACAATAATCAAAACAGTTTGGTATTGGTACAAGAACAGGCATATAGACCAATGGAATAGAATTGAGATTCCAGAAGCAAAACCTCAATTTCTCAACCACCTCATCTTCGACAAAACCTCCACCACCCACCACTGGGGAGAGGACAATCTATTCAGTAAATGGTGCTGGGAAAAATAGCTGACCACATGCAGAAGATTCAAACAAGACCCCTATCAATTCCCATACACAAAAATTAACTCTAAATGGATCAGACACCTAAATGTAAAACCTCAAACAATCAGCATTGTTAAGGTCTCTATGCACTGCCTGACTTTCAAGTTCATGTTTAAACATAGGCAGTTTAAATTCAACTCCATAGACCCTCCAACTGTAACATTCTGTATCTGTAAAGCCAAATCCTTTTAGGCAGGCGTTCTCTCCATTCCATCCTTGACTGCTATGTTATACTCAATTCTTCCTTTCATTCTGACTGTCTGCCTCCTCTCTGGGTGGCCATTTCCATCCTCAGATGTATCCGAGTGCCACATTTGCTGTTATTGCTGCTAATGAAACAGCTGCTGCTGAATATGCCCTTTGGTGTCTGAACATGCAAATCCTTTCCCAGGGTTTTAATTGCTGAGAAGTTTTGATATGTGCCAATATTCTAGTTCATGGGGCCCTTAAGATAGAATCCATTGAAATTTCACATGTTACCTAAAGGGAGTCATTCATTGATGAGCTGTGGTTTTTCACTTATTATTAGTAATAATAACAACAATAATTTTAGTAGTTGATATTTGTTTTGCAGTTACCAGGTTCCAGCACTCGTGCAAAGTGGTTTGCATGGATAATTTCACTAAACAAACAACAGCTGGAAGTATGTTCTGTGTTTACAGAGCCAGCTTTATACACACCTGATTGAGACTCAGAGCTTCAAGAATGTGACTCAGGCCACACACACATGCTCAATCTCAGAGTTCTTCAATGAGGAGGCCATTTTTATTTGTAACTCTAAACCTTTCCATTCAGTTTGGAAGAGGAAGTTGATGTGAGTTCACTGCTATGGTCAGTCAGTTTTCGGTATGGAACATCATCAACTAAGTTGCCTATTTCCTCCAGCCAAGTTAAGATTAGTGCTTGATATGACAACTTGAGAAGACAGTCTGTCCTCAAGAAAAAATTTTCATTCTACAGAAATGATGAGCATCAGTGTGATTTTGCAATACACTTTCCTGTTCAGATGCTTTTTAGCTAAAACTGCAGGTCAAAAGAGAGCAATTCATGGGGTCATTATTTCTGTCTACCACTTTATCTTGCTTCTGGGCATCTAAACTCCTTCTCTTAGTGTTACTGGCAAGGCCTTGTGGTGTGTGCTCACGAGAGTCACACTTCAGATTCTGGCTCTGCCATTTACTCGTTCTATGACTTTAAGAAATTCAGTCAACCTCTTTGTGACATTTTTACTCAAGAGCAAAATGTCAGTGTCATACATTTTAATTTTAATTTTTGATTTTGATTTTGATGTTTATCTCTTGTTCATGGGAGAGAAACTAAGTCCTTGGGATTTCCCAAGCGATAAGATTATCTTTGTTATTCATGAGCCCTTTGGATCACACTT